GTGTCACAGCTACAATCAAGAGCTCTTGTGTGGTACCGGGACGACTAATTTGCAATATGGTTGCAGGAAAGAGAAAAGTTTGAGGATTTCCTGAAGTTAATGAAACGGATTTATGACAAAATCAAAGTCACAATGGATGCAGAAGAAAAGGGGCGTTTGACCTTCCTAGATAGGGGTTATTCGCTCTACTGGGACACTCAAGAGGAAATTGTTCCGAAAGGAGTCATATGCCGAAGTAATACTCAATTTTGAATTTCATTACAACTACAGAATGATGATAGGCATACTAAGGAGCATGATCATTAAAAGCCTACGATTAACGGACGTGGAATTCTGGGATGAAGGATTGGAAAAATTGACTCGGATATCTCGGTAATAGATATTTGAGAGAATTAAGTCAAAGAAACATACTGGCCGTGAAGATCCGATGGCAGGACGGAGATTAAGAAAGAAATATAAGGATGGAGAAAGACTCACAAAAGTGCAAACAGAAATACATTGGAGAAACTGGGAGGAAAATCGACATACTAATTGAGGAACGTCAAAGGCTCTGCAAGAAAATGGATACTAGAAGATCAGATATAGCGGGCATTGGGACCAAATGGGCTGATAATCCACTTGAGATGCAGCAGGGGGCCAGAGATAAATGTCCACAGTTTGTTCAGGGTACATGTGCTTAATCGAGGAGAGGATGCCTGAAGGTAATGCCTAATATCCGCAGGTATGGGAATCAGAGCCTAGGCGCTCTGAAGATAAGGCGACTTTGTACGTTCGACTGAATGCCTGAGAAATGGCACCTGGAGTAAAAGAAGTCTGGGGTTGGAACCGAATAAAATCAGTCAACGAAAAAGTTAAAAAACGGACCCACAGGCCCATGAAACTGATTCTGACAGGAGACTAGACAGGATCAGCCACCCGAAAGTTATGGGAGCAAGGCAAAAAGCAGGTGTGATATAGCCACGGTAAATTCGCCAAAAGGGCACATCTCTTGTAGAATATAAATGTCAGAAGTTGTGATAGGACGAGGACGAGACTATAGGGTAGGAAATGGATTGAGGGGCCAGAACAAAACGAGGAGTGATAGCATAACCGTTTCGAGAGAAAGTTGGTCAAGGAATTGCCTTCACTTATCTCTTTGACGAGTCGTAACTTGGTCTGCTGAGAATGACAAGACCACTGTTGCTGCCGACTACGATGTTGGCGAAACGTCTGTGAATGGACCAAGTCCACGGTCCGACTCTGGAAATGATCATGCATACCATGGACTCCGGACAAAGTGCGTTCATATAGGTCTTCCTGCTAATATAACGGGTCAAACAACTTGTATACAACGAAAGGAGACCGCGACTATACAAAAGGCCACACCATCCTAGTCTTCATACCTTCGATGAAAAAGTGTTGTTTAGACCTCGCTTTCGTATTTTGAGTGCAGCGACAAAGAGACCTTGCGGAGCGTATCAAGTCTTACTTCTTCCGACATAGTATTCATGATTTCCAGGTCAGACCATTAACTTGGTACATTCCCATTGGTCTCGCCTGCATCGTAGTCGGCATCGTCAGTAAGAGGTGCTATCGTCACATCCTATCAATGACAAGTGAAGACAATCTCCATTAAAAATTTTCTGTTTAACTGTTGTGGCCTCATTCCTCGCAACTTGTCTTTTTCCTTCCTTTTCGTGCTACACTTCCTGCTCTGAACCCTACTACATATCACCCATTTGCACAATTATGTGCTATAATTTCCTCCAATGCTGCCCAAGAGAATGTCGCTACAAGTGGAATTAATAGTACGTTATCATTTTTATCATCAGTTTCAACCACCCCTTGCAGGGCTTCCACCTCGATCTAAGCCTCCTTTCCATCCCGCTCGTCAATTGGTTCCTACCGCACATAAAAATCACTGCCCGGCTGACTATAAACCTTTAATTCCCGTCCCCGCTTTTGTCATATTAGAGGAGTTAGAGCCGGTGATGTCCATGCCAATGTCCAAGAAGTTTCCGCTCACTAGGCTTCAGACCCATCATCCCCACTTTCTTTGGGATCCTGTGTTAAACTTAGTTTGTAACACCGCTTCATTACCTCACTCCTGAATCGTTCAGAGCGAACTCCTTTTGTCCCTCAGGTTGACAGTCCTATCTAAGCCTAAGATTCTAGTCTGCTGTGCATGTGGTTTCTAGTTGGTTTGAATCTCTCCTTAGTCACGTATGTCATCAGTCACCTCTCATTAAGTAATACACACGAAAACTGCAAACAACCCAACAGATTGACTCACCCAATTGGGGACCAACTGATATTGTGTTCCCTAGGGCGATTTCCAAACCGTGATAAATTTGATAAGGAGCTATATCTTTAACCTACCACCTCTATTGTGTATAATCGCATGTTTCTGGCCTTAAATTTTCTATATCACATCAAACACCCACACCGGTAGTTTTTCGGCTGATTCCAGGTTTGAATCATCTCATTGCAATCGTCTTTTCTTGACTTCCCTTGGTTCCCCATTATCCTTATTACTCTTCCAGTTGTTGACTAGTCGTTCTTGGTCCGAGCGTCTTCTTTTTGCTGTCCTAGCCCAATCTATTAATCTTCCCAGGGAGTATGTGAAATTATCCTGGCTCTTCCCTCTTCCAGTCTCCTTCATGTGCATCAGGTTTCCTTGTAAAAGGATGTCCAAGGCACCGCTGATCTTCCGCTTTCTGGTGTTCTCCACATAGGAAGCCAATCTTTCCGCTACACTCCGGTTATTTCTATGGCCGATCAAGGCGATTGGTTCATCTGCCTCAGATTTTTCTGAATCAATTTTTCTACTTAGTCGCTGGAGTTCTTCGCTTGTTGTTCTGAATATTTTTCCAGTCTCTTCAATGCGCCTTTTCTAACAGTCCTTGTAATTTATGCTGTGAACTCCGGAGCACTCCATTTCGTTGACTTTTCCATGTGTGGGCAAGCTGGTGAAGAGGATTGTCCTTTCCGCCAGGAGTATATGAATTTTCAATTCCAATAGTAATAGCTGCAGCCTCCGAACCAATTCGCAGGAGGGTAGACAGGTGATTAGACAAAGGAAGATTTAGCGTGAATTTTGCGTACTACATGATCAGACTTATAGATTCGGTGAGAACAACGAAAAAAGGCGCTTGGACCAAGGCCAACAATCCAACAACTGGAAGAGACATCGCAAAATAGAGGATCATGAAGGACAAAATGAAATCAAGGAAAGAAGATTACAGTGAAAGGAATCAAACCTGTAATCAGCTGAAAAGCTACTGGCGTGAGTCCACCTGTGAGATTTGGGACAAAAGCATGCAGATTATACACAATAGAGGTGCTAGGCTAAAGATATGGGTTCCTAGCAAATTCATCGGTGTGTAGAAACCAACCTGGTGGGCACAATATCAGTTGGTCCTAAGTGTGAGTGTGTGTGCGTAGGCTTATGTGCCTTTTTCGTGTGTGCGCCTTAATGCGAGGGTGACTGGTGGCATTCTTGACTATGGAGAATATCAATTAGCGTACACATGGACAACAGTCTAGAACCTTAGGATTAGGTGGGACTGTTAACTTCAGAGACAATAGGAGTATGCTTTACGCGATTCAGGAGTGGGGAAGAAAAGCGGTCCCTCTTTACACCAGTTGTTCCGAATCATGCCAGATAGAAGGCCTCAGAGAATAAGGGATAATGTGGTGTGGATGATAAATAGGATAAATTGGTCATGAGTTCCGCGTGCGCTACAATTTGTTATAGCAACAATTATACAAATCTCCAGAATGCCAGATTCTACCTCGGGTTTCAAATAATGTGTCGAAATAGAGCTTCTCTAGGCAACCGTTTTCAAATCCCTGGAATGAAATACTGCTTCCTTACGCCTTGATGCTATGTATTCTAGTAGTATCGGACCCTTGCCTGGGTACATTCACAGACGCTTTGCTAGTGCTGAGCTAAAACTCTTCAAAGGGAATCCCATCATAAACGTCTATTTTAAGACAGACTCCGGTGGGCTCGAGAATGCGGTCCACTCTGCATTGACTCATAATTTAAAGATATATAAAATGCCAAAGAAATGGTCAAATTTCAATGACAGATCATTCTAAGTCCCTGTCGTACTAAGCCTCAAGAAAATGGAAATAAAAGATGAGCAGAACACAAAACAGTGCTTCGTGCAGTCAGTTCTCCTTAGCGCTCTGCTTTATGGCTTAGAACTTTTACATTGTCTTGTCGGGCTTGAAATCTCCTCTGTTTGAGGGATAATTATGATAAAACCCAGGCATAATCTTGACATCATTCTCTTTCCTATAATTCTGGGGCTTAAACGGATGTCCATAAGCAAGCTATAGATAAACCCAGTCGCAACAGAGTTGCGTTGTGATAGTCCAAAATATCTGAAACTCGGTTGGTTTTCTCGAGTGTTGACCTAAAGTGGACGATTTTAAGGCGTTAAGTTACAAGACAAATTTGTCAAGAATATTATTGCACTTGCATACTTCTACTTATTTGCGTACATGCGTTTCTGCATTGGAGTGGTTACAATATATCTTATCTGTCCAAACGAGCTATGATTTATCTGAGAAGGCCTAACTAGCTACGCGACTATTGATTTTTTTCTTGTCTCCATCTTTCTCAGCCACACAGCAGTATTTTACCCACCAACTTTTGCCATGATGTTCTCTTCCGGTGCTTCGAGAGAGTTCGACAATGATCTCAGGGGGACCAGGGACATGTACCAGGCAAGCAATCATCTCTCCTTGTCTAAGCTGACTCGGTATTACTTTATTGGCTAGGAATTGCGTCCCGTATGCTGCATGAGTCTATTAATTTGGCTTCATCTGTCCCAGATTTTGGCCGGTCCACTTCCTAGACAGTGTTAATTGTTCATGCTTACCTGTCGCTGAGGCCAAGCAGACATAGAACCAAGGATCACTAGATGAACATTAACGCATCACATGATTCAGCAGGGTTAATACAAATCAAATAACAATTTATTTGGCCTTAACTGCGTGTGGAGAACAGCGAAAGTAATAATATTACCTTAAAATTGCGACAGAAAAGAGAGACTGAGGGTGTTGTAGGGTGGATTTCCTCCCGACAGGAGCCGTCTATGCAGCAATCATCCGTCTGCAGTCTGGCGCATACGAATGGACAAACCCAGCCTGGAAGCACATATTTCTGGTTGGCACTGGGACGGTATACCCTGTACCATACTTTATGGCGCTGGAATGTCTTGCACAAGTCACAAACATGCAAGCAACAAGGAAACTTGATATATTTTTGTATATTCACGTTTTTAACATAGCCATTGTCCTGGCTACCCCCCCTGTAAGACTTTATTCTACTGCTGGTGAGGAAACAGTGTCTTGCTGACCAAATGCACGACAGGATATGTCTGATATTATAACTAGGAGCTCTGTAAATTCATACATGATGACAAGTGGCCCCTGTAAATGACTCCGTACCTTTAAAATAAGATCTTTGTCTCAAAAACTATTTTTATTAAAACTAGGTGCTGTTTTCGATTTTACTGCCATATATCACTTTGATTTATCATAAATCACACGAGAAAATGTGATTTGGGGAAGTCTGGCCTGCCTCAAGAATTACATCTGCCAAGTGACCCACAGGCACCAGTGGCAGAATATTGGTGAATTGTGCCGGTGCTAACGAATAGGCTTCGAATCTCTTTGAGGAAGCTGATTGTAAGATAGGTAGAGATAAAAATGACAATCCAACCTAGATGAGAGAAGATTTTGCAAGTAAAGCTAAGGGAAGTAGCATCAGCAAGAATGTTT